GGGCGACCAAGCGGCATAGATCATGAGTGGGGATACCAATCGACGTTCATTGGCGACCATTCTCCGTCAGTGAGTCGAGCAATTAGCACGGCCATCGTAAATTCCTCCTGCGTTCGACAACAAAGTTCTCCACTTCCATCCGCTGTGAGATCGTCTTGTTGGAGATGTCGAGACGTGGGATTTCCAACATTCTTCGTTCCGTGCCTCTCTCGGTAACAGATAGTTGGCGCTCTTCTGCCTTCGTGAAGGGTCACATCTAATAGCCATACATCATTATCGACAGAACGGTAGAATTGAAAAGATAGCAGTGGTTTCGTTTCCTGATGTTGTCGAGGAGAAGGTCATTGATGGAATGGAATGCCCGCCAATCGGCCTTCTTTCTCTACTGCATCATCATGGCGCATGTTGATCTCATGGATCACGTAAACATATTTATCGACTAGCTTGATCCTTTTCACCGTATAAAATCTTGGCTTTAAGCAGGGCATCCGATCGCAGCATCTTTGTCTTTCACCGATTGACTCTGACTTCTGAAATGTTTCTCTTCAATTCTTGTAGCATGTCTTGTAGCTGCACTGGCGTTTTCCGCAAAAAAGCTGTCATCAAGGAACCTTAAGTTGTGGAACTCTTTACCGTTGATGTAAATTCCACTCTTCCAGTTCATCCTCCGGAACATCATTTCCAAACAGGCAGTGAAACGTTTGGAGGAGATGGTGTCCCTATATTTCACGCCCTTCTCTATCAGGATCCGGAAGAGGTGTCGAACAGCGCGACTTTTGTGAAGGAGCCAGAGTTCGCTTCCTTTAGAAAGTTTAAAAGTTTATGTAACGGGTGTCGATGCCCTACTCTGGCAGGGCAGTCCACACTACGTCGCATTCGACAGTGTCGAACACTTTATTGTAGCCGACGAAGGTCATGCAGAGAGGGAGTTGGAATTCCCTCCGCGCTCAAGGAATTAACTCACCGTAAACTCAACAGAGTAAACTCAGTGTTATCCGTTGTGCTGCAACTCCTTCGAAATCCTGCCTGTTCTCTCGGCCGCTATTCTTTCGTATTTTTTGAGTCTGTTGTTGATGATCTTAATGAACATGACAGTTTTTGACTTCTTGCAGGTTGATAATATCTTTTCCGTTTCCGAGTAGCAATTGAACCATTCCGTCAGAGCGCTCCAAACCGTCTGGTCATTTCAGTCGTCAAAGCAACTTTCTCTGGAGCCCTTTCTTTATTCATTTGCTGTGCGGGATGGCGAATTTCGCTTATAAGGACCGAGAGTGCACTTCCTTACGGCTATTAGTGCGCTGGTGAAGGGGGACCGTGTCTTTGAAGCAAAGAGCTGGATGCAAACGTCCCTGCAGACAGGCTGCATTTCAGATCTATAAGACGCTGACACGACATCAACATCGTACTGGTCGAATGTAGGACGCTAACTCTGACCTGCATTGTCTAAAGTTTGTGGTCTTCGGCTGTTTCCTCAAATTTTCGCAATCGGAGGGTCTCGAATTTCTCCTTCAGTTTCCATGTGGTGAGCCTGCAAAGAAGAGGGTACTCCACGCATCGGTACCATCTCTGTACTTCACTGTTTCTCTAACAAACTCTTTGTCTGTTCTGTGATCATCCCTTTCGCCCGCCTATTTAGTGTTACCACTTTGGCTAACTTTACGCAACGCCTCTGTTTCTCAGTGAGCTTCTCGTAGTTATCGTAGCAGCTGCCATTCAGGCTCTAATCTACACTAGAATTACGCGCTTGGAGCACCGATGTGCCATCTGCAATGTCTTCCTCCAAAAAAATATGCCGTGTGCCCAACAGCTGATCATCTGGCGCGTTCTTGAGTTGCAGAAATGGAATGACCTCCATATGTGGAGGTTAGCTGCGACAAATAAACAGTCGCGGACAGGCAACAAAGATACAGTCAGGGCATGACCGGGTTGGAGCTCAACAATGTTGATTTTTATAAAAAGTCACAATGCCCAACGACAGTCTCGCCCAATGTCGAGGCGAAAGCGTCCCATCCACTTTGAAGAAAAATGGACGCCAATTTCATCCTGTATTACGGCTAGACGTCGGATCGTCAAAGGCTAGAAGAGACAATTTCTACAAAAAAATCGGAAGGAATGTCTGAAAACGAGAAACAAAATTACTGCCGTACAGGTCATTCGGCAGAGCGCTGCTGAGGGGGAGGCAAAGGAGGAAGTCCGTGATTGCCATTATTTAAGCAGCTACGGGTTTTCAGAATAGTCAGGATAAACTTCACCTTACACAATGGCTACATTAGGTCATTAGTTTCCTACCATCAACCTTACTAGCCCAGTCAGAGGTTGTAACTGGCTAATGACCGAACGAAATTTGACCTTTAACGACGGCCATCAGATAGATGAATAGTTACCGCTTCTGGCCTCGTCTGACAGTGTCCTCGAAAATTTCCCCTGTCAATGATGAATGAGTGAACTAAATACGAAGATCAAATCAGTCAGTAACTGACTCTGAATGTGCCGGATTACAAAGTTTCTGGTGGGGGCGACCCATTATTATCGCACTTTTCGAAGAAACGCTGTTCAGCGCTGTGGGACAGGTTCAGAACAACTCTGGGATGATCGAGTGACCGATGGAGGCAAATACAAATCGCTGTACGACTTGAACTGGGTTACACATCGCCTAACGACACAACTACGGCCAAACTCTATTACTACATACCTGCATGTAGTCCTTTTTTGCATGATACCAATCGAAGCACCATGCAATAACAATTTTCTGACTATGGCGTTTCTACTCTGTGATGTTAGGAATTCGTGGCGACTTCACACCACGACATTTCCGTTACAAGTTTTTCCCGTACGCTCCATGTAGGGTTCTGCCTGCCGAGTTTTGCATCACCATCGAACACTTCACACCGAAGTTTTAATGCAACCCAGTTCACCGCAAATATGACGCCTACGCCAGTGACCAGTCACTCCTGAATACGATATGTTCATCGTTTACCTGCATGTAGGCAGATACAGCGACCTCCACATGATTTATGGTGTCTTGACTGATTCGGTAGCTAAACGACTGAATCTCTACGTTTCGAACATCAGCAACGGGCAAACTTCCATCTGAATCAACATTTTAAATTTTGTGCTTAGCCTCGTAGTTTTCCAATGTTTACATATGGAGAAAATTATGCGGCTTTAAACTTTGCCTGTGAAAAGTTAATACTTATTGATATCAGCCATGGCAACAAACCGACTTGGCTTGAACAAACCAGGTGTCAAGAAGGGCTGTACTATTGCCTTTTCTTTCAGACGTCTTCACCCACGATTGCCCCATCAATGCCCAAATTCCATCTATAAACTATGCCAAAGACACCGCAGTATTATGATTTCTGAAATCTCCACAGGAGTGTGATGCCTATGAGAATGGCATTCTCGTTCAATGAACCGAAATTCAACCTGTTTAAAGCAGATGAACAGATTTGCGCTATAAAACGCAGTGAAAACTACTCATCGCTCATTCCAGACGTCGTCTTATTATTGACAGTAGATCTCTAAAGCCTGTGTAACATCAAATAATTAGGAATAACTCTGTATACTCTGTAACTTTACATAGCATGAACATATATAATCCATGATGACTGGCAGGCTGTTGGACGACAGTTTTTCACGCTAAAAGGTTGAGGAACTTACATCTATCAAGTTACGCAATCATATATCTGTATTTGCGCATTATACATCGGTATACATGTAACGCACTTACCGTTTTATCGAGAACACTTTCGCGTGATTTCAAACTGACTATCAGTCTACTGAAGATGGGCTCAAAAATCAACCGG